GTTAGCTTTACTTCATGTTCAAATGTAAACAAATAAGTGTAAAAAAATAAAGAGCAAAATAATTATGTGGCAACAAAACAAAAAACCCTGACCTCAGTCAATATCAGAACTACCCAGGTTTTGGATTTTTTTTTTTTAGAAGTATTTCAAACAATAAATATTTTATATTTATCATAAATCTTCCATCTGTAATAGTTTGAACAGCATTTGCTTCTAACAGCTTCAGATGAAGGTGATTCTTGAGTCAGAGCAAACACACAGGTTTATTCAGGCTTATGTGATTGCATTCTATTGCAGAAACCCCCTGTAAAAATAAAAAATAAAAAATAGGCTCATTTTCTGCACCACAGAGTTGAATATCAGTCAGCCAGGTCCTCTGTGCAGGGCCATTCTGCATGTCAAGGCTGCTGCAGTTATTTGTCACTTCCTGTCAAGGCTTGAACGCTCGCTGCTCTACGCCCATCAAGGCCAGGTGAGCGTGTGTGCCCATACCAGCATAAATGTGTGTTCACAACAGCAGACTCTGGAATGCATGCACTGTAATTTGTGTGTGCGTGTGTGTGTGCATGCATGCATGTGTGCGTGTGTGTGTGTGTGTGTGTGTGTGTGGGCTCTGCTTGCCTGCTGGAAGGTCAGTGTCCTGCTGTTCCCTTTCTAAGTTGGGAGTCCCTACAGGCGATTCCCAGGGCTACAAAACATGACACAACAAGCACAGAAGTAGATGTGTGTGTGTGTGTGTGTGTGTGTGTGTGTGTGTGTGTGTGTGTGTGTGTGTGTGTGTGTGTGTGTGTGTGTGTGTGTGTGTGTGTGTGGGCGAGTGTGTGTGTGTGTGTGTGTGCGTGTGTGTGTGTGTGTGTGTGTGTGCGAGTGTGTGTGTGCGCGCGCTTGTGTCTCTATTTTCCTCTTATTTAGAGATGCATCATCTTTCATTTCATTTTATGTTGTGAAATGTCAGATTTAGCTGATATTCAAACGGCTCTTTTCCTTCTGTAGATCCTTCTCAGCATGATTCTGTTTCTTCAAACATACACGGTTCCAGCTGTTTCACATGGTAATCCATCCTCCACAGTTTGATCATCTTGCCACAAAGGTCTAGTTTTACTGAACTTCAGAAGGCCACCCAGCCTTGTTGACTTTGGTGACTCCGCCATAAAGGAAATCTGGCTGCCATGACCCCTGGCAGCAACGACCAAGCAGCCGAAACATCAGACAACTGCGAACTGAGCCTGGCTGTGTCGGTAACAGAGCGGTAGGGATCAGACTAATGGAGGGATGTAAAAGGAGAAAGAGAGGATGAAGAAAAAGAAAGTGGGGCGAACACAGAGAGGAATGGAAGTGTCTCCAGATTCTAGGTATTCTTGTTAAATACTGGAATAAATTTTCTCCCCCCAGCTCCCTTGGAGCCCTCTCCAGGCTTATCCTCCCTTATTGAACTGCTCTTGCAGCCTGTTTGCAAACTTTCCCCTCCAGATTCTCTCATTGCAGCCACCTGGGTCATTCATCTTTAGATGTTTTTACCTGCTGAAGTGAAACATGTGACCAATTTTCCACTCCTTCTGCCTTCCCCTTTACTTTTTTTTTTTAGTTTTTAGTATTATTTTCTTCTCCACTATCCCTCCCTCCATCCCTCCTCCTCCCTCTCTTACTCACTCTCCTCCCTCATAGATGGAGATTAACTGGGGAGTGCAGCACCATCCGTCCTCATGACTGTTTGTTGTTAAGGAGATGGATGGAGGCTGCCTCTGCCAGCCCCACGCAGCCGCAATTACACCAGCCGCCATGATGGATGGGATGGAGGGAACAGGGGGATTGGGTGGGTGGTGGGGGTGGGGAGAGGGAGATACAGAGAGGGGCATCTATCACCCCCCTTAATCTACCTGCCACTGCTCAGGCCAGGATGTGGAGGGGAAGGGTGGGAGGGCTGGAGAGAATTGGCTTTTCCTTGACTCCTGGTCAAAGGTGTCTTCCCTTCTTCTTCCCAGTTTCAGTGAATTTAGTGAGCAGGGGCTCGGCATATTAAATACCCTGAACTGAACAATTGATTTTCCAGAACTGATTGGATTCCTTAAAGCTCCCCGGTTCTGTCTGAGTGTGTGTTTAGGACATCAGTTTGATTAGGACACAATCTTTTGACTGAACACCAAAAGAGTGAGTCTGTCATTGCCAGTTTAACATGCAGGCTGGAGAACAGGACACAGAGATTCATATGACAAGTTATTCTTTCAGCTGAATGCCCAATATCTTTCAAAAGGTTTCACATACCTTTCCTTTTTCTGCATTTTTGTCACATTACAACCACAAACTTCAATGTATTTAATTGTGATTTTATGTGATAGCTCAACATGAAGTATTAAGATGGAGGGCAATGACGATTTTCAAAGGTCTTTATGAATAAAAATATGAAAATTGTGGCATGTGTTTGTACTTAGCTCCTTTCTGTTGCCCCAAAATAAATGTAGTGCAACCAAATGTCATCAAAAGTTACCTGATTAGTACAGAATAAATTAGTAAATAGACCCCACCTGTGTGTAATTTAGGATGCATTCACATTAGCACTGTTCAGTCCGCTTTAATCAAACTCTGGTTTGTTTGCAAGTCCTATTCACTTGGGAATGTGTGAATTGGACTCTGATGAAACAAAAAAAAGCTAGTTCTGGTGAGTTTGCTGAGGTCTCAGTTCAGTTGAAGTTAATATTTGAATGCAAGCGGAACAGCGGTCGCTCCCAAAGCAGGAAGTGAACTTTAGCGCAGGACATTCTGGGCAAATACAACAACAACAACAACAACAAACTGCATGAGTCTAATGCTAGCGGAAGAAATAACACGTTTTGTTTTGGGGGTTTTTTTCCAATTGCAAAAGAGAAATCCTGCAACAACTGAAATCTGGCACCGCTTAATTCTTGTTTACATTTTGTAAAGAAGGATGTTGCGTTCAGGTTCTTCTTCAGAGGTTGTTGTTGTTTCCTTCAGTGGTTCTCTTGCAGCTCCTCAATCATTATTTCATCCTCCTTCAAACTTGTCAGATCGTAATGGCCGTTCCTCTCTGCCGTGATCACTGTGTTAAGTAAACCAGTCAGATTTGTTTCAGGTTTATTCATGCTAAAACATTTGAAATCCAGATGTTTTGCTTCCTCTTTACCGTTATGTGTTAATATATGTTGATCTGCAGCATGAAATCCTAATAAAATACATTCGGGTTTATTGTCATTGATTGAAAAAACTGTGAAGAGTTTCAAGTCCAAATATTTCCACACAGCACTGCATGTTGAACCAGCGCAAAATTATCCCCGCGTTTACCTGTTGAAGGTACGAACACCTGCCGTGCCTCATCATAATTCCCCACAATGCTACAGAAATGTTATGAAAAGTAATCTGAGGGCTCCTACCCTCTCCCCCTCCTCCTCCAGGCTACATTTTTCTCCTCCACCTTCTCATCTGTCCACAGGAGTGAGAGATGGGATGGCGGGATTAATACTCTTCCGCCCAAACCAAGCCGGGGAATGATGGATGGACGGGCGCAGGAAGGGAGAGGAGGAGGAGAGACAGATTAAAGGAGAGAAGTCTGAGGGGTTCATAAATCCAAAACATGGGGTTGGAGAAAGGAGGGGAGACCTGCATCGTATCAGACTCTAATAACATCTGCAAGAAATCTATAAGGAGGTAGACAGAGGTGCAACGAGGGGGTCGGAAGGGGAGAGATGGGAGCGGCGTAATAGCATTAGATGTAATCCAATCATGGCAATAAGATGTGAATGGATGAGTGTGAGCAACTGTGATTATGCAGACGAGAGTCGTATTGAGGAAGGACAGGTCTTGGTGCTGGACATGAGGAAAAGTTCTCACAGGAGCTTTCTGCTGTAGAGACACCGAGAAAACACAGTTTACTTACTGGAGTTTTGTTATTTTGACTCAGAAAATTTAATCGCCCTGCTCTTTCATGAAACCCATGAACTCTCCGCGCGCAGAGGCCGTCTCCACGCTAAGAGCGGTTGTGCAGCCGTGACCTGACTCGGTTCAGATGGAGTGCTTCTTCACCTCCCTCCTCTTCTTCACCACCCCATCGCTGCCCCCCTCACTCCACCTCCTCCCCTTTATCCACCAGGGCCACATTTTTCATGGCCCAGCTGTCGGAGAGCCGTGATTGGTTGGCTCAGTGGACAGATAGCCGATAGGCTCTGATTAATAGTTGAGGCCCAAGAACTTCCTCATTGATCAACAGGACAGGCTGCAGAGAGAGAGAGGAGGAGGAGGAGGAAGAGCGGTGGTGAGGAGAGAAAAAGCATACCCTGTCGCTCTGCAAGTGCTGGCTGATAATCCAGATAGCAGCTAGTGGAGTTTGTACAAGTGTGTGTGTGTGTGTGTGTATGTGTGTGTGTGTGTGCGTGTGTGTGTAAACTTGCAGTATTGAGGGGACAGAGATTGTTTGAAGCAAGATGCAAAATAAAGGAATGCCGTTTAAAACTCCTTCTTTCTCGTCAGCTGAGCCCTGATGTGCAAAAACATCTGAGCTTTAGGTGGATGAGCAAATATTTAGTCTCAGCATAGATCAAATTTGTGTTTTTATTCCATGAAATCCGTTTTTGCTCTCGTCAAGCCATGATTTAAATCTGCTTTTTTAACGTGTTCAATCCCAGATCGATGTTTCTGTGTGTGTGTGTGTGCGTGTGTTACAGTATCAGTGTGTGTTATAAGGCCTGCGTGTCTGTGTGTGCCCCCCTGCTGTTCTGTCCAACCTCTAGTTGATTGATGAGCTTCACTCCCACGGAGGTCAGCAGGGTCATGACCTCCCACTTTTGACCCCCCTGTTGAGAGGTTCACGCATACATGCACACACACACACACGAACACACTCCTACACACACGGAAACAGATGGCCTTGGGACAACTGGTTCTCCCCTCACCTTTTCTCCTCGAACACACCCCGAATCTTCATGATTCCTCTTGATGTTAGAAAATCAACTGTATCACCTCCTTGGAAAAAGTCAGACACAGCACTCTGGTTTATTTTCAGTTTTTATTTTTTCTTATGGAGAAAAACGAAACAAATCTGACCAAAATGTTCCACCATGACGGGCTTACTGCATTAAACACAAACAGCAGATTAACGGTTCCAAACTTTAATATTGGGTGTTTTTCAGAGGAGTTTTCTTACAAAGTTGCAACACCACACCCTAGTGATGAAATAGTGTAACAGCAGCAAGTGAATCTTGTAGAAACCACACAAAAATATATATTTTTAATATCATAAAATGCTAACGGCAGCATCCAAATCACACAAGCACAGAGGCTGGCTGCAGAGCTGAGATTATTATGGACACAACAGGAGGAAATGGAGGAAAGCAGTCAGATTCTCTCAGTTTCAGAAAACAATGATAAGAGCTGATCTGGCTTTAATATCACTGATCACAATTATGCTCCTGGTTTTGTCATCTTCTCCAGGGCGGCTGTCTTCAACCAGCGGGCGACATGATTCTCAATTTCCTGAGAGAAGAAGAGCAGGAGAATATTGTGTTTAAAATGTCCTTGTACTAAATAGAGTCTCCATTAGTTTTTAGGGTTCACCGTTATATTAATCGTGCCGATTAGAAAAATATTTAGATAACAGCCAACACCAGGAATATGCAAATTTAGGTTTTAACTTAGAGTGACTGTAAATAACCTAATATAAAAGAAAGAGTTTCAAATTTGTCATGTTTTGAAGGATTATGTAAAAGGACTTTAATGTGGCATTAAATGCAGAACAAAAGTTAACATTTGACTTTCACAACGTGGCAAAACCAAAATAAAGGCTACAGCTGATGTTGTTTTGTTGATTATATGTTAATTATGGATTTCATTTAGAATATCAGAGAAAAAGATGTTTAATACTTTTTGAGTTTTATTTGTAAAAAGAAAAATAAGATGAAATCATGTAAACTTTTAAATATGACCAACAAAACTTATCTATGCACTACTTTATGTTGTTCTAGCAAAGGGATGGGCTGATGTGAAAACTTGGGCAAATATCAATATCTGACATTCATATTGCTTTTATGGACAATAACCAATATTTAATGATGGTTACCATCACATCACACTATCACATGACCAACCTCCTCCATCTCCAGGAACAAGATGGAATTAAATATCGGTTATTAATATTGTCCCAGTTTAATTTATCGCTCTAATATCGATATGTTAAAAAAATGGCTAAATCGACTCATACCTATGGCAGCACCAATATATATAATGGCCAAAGTTCTAGCCATTTTATCCTGAGAAAATACATTGAAGTTTATGGTAGTAAAGTATATATGGTTTGAATATTTTTCCAAGTTACAGTATTATACTGGTTTCAGTCAGGAGACCGTACCTGCCTCCCCTTCCTGAGTGAGTGGCGGTCTGTTAGTCTTTCCTTCGACATGTCGGCACAGTGTGCCGTGTCCTTAATGAAAACTGTCTGAGATTCCTCACTGCTGTCCTGAACCACTGACAGCTCCTTCCATGGGTCCACTCCACCTGCGGTGATGATGATACACATGTATTTAATGACCCTGCTTCGCTGTTTTCTTATCTAATCTCGTCACAACAGACAGTTTCTTGCTGTGTTTGATTGTCCAGAAAAGGGGGCTGTTTCTGCTCACTGTGGTAGGGAGCTTCAATCATTTGCTGGATGTTTTTATTTCCTTCAGTGAACAGAATCTTACCATTAACATACAGGACCCTGTAGGTGTTGGGGTTGTCCCCTCCGTAGTAACTGTTTGTGAAGGCGATGCGTGAAGGCAAAGAATGCTGGGAAATACCAAACACCTTGGTACAGATCTTAGTCTGAGCCTGTAGGGTTACCATCCCAGAGAACGGACAGGTAGTGTCTTCACAGGTCTGATCTGTAAGAGCAACGAAAAAGAAAGTTTAAGGTACAGGATGAGGGATATTTGAGTGATTATTTGAGTGTGTGTGTTTTACAGAAGCCAAATTCAGTGCAGGTCTGGTAAGTCCACTGTCTCTCTGCTCTTCTTCTGCTCTTGTGAGACGTGTCCATCAGGTTCTTTACCGTTTCCTCGTGAGAAACGTCCAGACACGATTCATCAGAGGTGTTGTGGTACATCTGCACATATTTATTTACACATAAATCATTTTACCTTAGAGCTACTCATTTACAGGTACATCTAGAAAAAATTGAATGTTGCACAAAAGTGTAAAATTTCTTTTATGGAAATTTATTAAAGAAACCCTGAAATTCAGTGTCTCAGAAAGTTAGAACACATTAGTCCAATCAAAGATCAATGTTTTAAATGCTAATGTTATGGTTATAGAAAATATGAGCATTCATATGCTCTCAGTACTTGGTTTGTGCTCCTTTTGCATTCGTTACTGCATCAATGTGCCGTAGCATAGAGGCAATCAGCCTGTGGCTCTGTGTAGGTGTAGAGGAAACCCAGATTGCTTTCATATCTGCCTTCAGGTCATCTGCCTCATCTTGTTCTTGATAACAGCCCATAGATTTTCTAAGGGGTTAAAGGTCAGGGGAGTTTGGTAGTCAATCAAGAACAGGAACACCATGGTCATGGAACCAGCTTTTGGTACCTTTGGTTGTGTGGGATGGCGCCAAGTCATGCTGGAAAATAAAATCATCATGAAGTGCTCTGGAAATTCCTGGTACACAGCTGCACTGACTGTGGATTTCAGAAAACCCAGTGGACCAGAACCAGCAGATGGCACAGCAAAGAAAACCATCACTGACTGGAAACTTCACAGACTTAAAGCAATGTGGTTTCTGTTCCTCTTCACTCTTCTTATAGACTCTGGGACTTTGATTTTTAAATTTACTTTAATATGAAATTAAGACTCTGGACCGTTGCGCAACGGTCCAGTTCCTTTTCTCAGAGTAAGTCACCTCTGATGTTTTCTCTGGTTTCCTGAGGGTTGGCACAGGGAATATGGCATTTGTAGCTCATTTCTAGTATGGTGTGGTGACAAAGCTCTCAGGGCAGAAGTTCTTCCTGTTGCTGGTGCACTTTTTCCATCCACTCAATTTTCTATTAATGTGCTGGGATACCAGGTTCTTCAGGAACGATCTTTTGTGGTGTTGATGAATGTCTTCAGGACGTCTGTCCAGTCAGTAGTCTTCCTTATTTAGCCTACTGACCCAGAGTAACAGATTGTTCAAAGGCTCAGGAAATTGTTGCAGGTATTTTGAGTTAATTAGCTGATTAAGATGTGACACCATGCTTTCATTAATGAGCTTTGTCACATTATTTAAATTTTTTGAGCCACTGAATTTTGGGTTTTCTTAATCATAAGAAATAAAACTTCACATCACTTTCTGAGATGACTGGCAAGAAATATTGCACTTTTACAAAACACTGCATTTTTTTTTATCTGTACCTGTAATATGCACATTTTCTAAAAGTATTTCTTGCTGGCACCATCATATTTTAAGCCCTAAGTGGCTTGGGTGAGGTATTCACTGAAATGACTCTGTGCTGACCTCTAGTGGTCATTTCTGAACATGAACATTTAAAGATCTTAAAAAGCCATTTGAACCTGTGAGAGTTTCACAAGGCGGTTGTAAGCCTCCATCTCTGCCTCCTTCTCCTCACTTGTTTCGGTCATAACACCACACAGCTCCTTTATCGACATCAACACTCCTTCTTCGTTGTACTGCACACTTCCCATGATGATGTCAGCCAAGTTTTGCATCAACTCCATCTGCAGAAAGGAAGTGTGGGCAAAGTGTTCTGTAGGTGCGTTTATCTGCGACATGTATCTGAATCAGAAGATTGCAAAATAAAGTGTGGGATGAACCACTAAAATACAAGCTAAACTACATGGGCTAAATCAATCTTGGTCATTTTTTTCATTTTTTTAATTCGTCTGTCAACATTTGTCAAAGTGGGCACAAAAAGTAAATATTAATTTGCTTCATTTCTTCGGAAAAAAAAAGAACAACAATGACCAAAATTAGACTTTCTCAAAGTAGCAATGGGATGAAATGACCAGCACTCCAAGGTGAAGTAAGTTGAAAAGTTGATCAAAATTTCCAGTTATCTTATTGTTTTGAACTCATAACAAATTAGTCTAAATATCCACATCATAGCTTAAATAAAACACTAACTATTTAATCTTAAAAGCTGTCAAATCAGCCCAGAGTTGAAGCGATCAAGTGTTTTGTTTCTGACGAGTCATCACCTGATCATCAGGATTTTTGGGAGTCTGACAGCAGCCGAAGTCTCCGGCCACCTTGGTGAAATTTCCATCCAGCAGCGTTGCTTCGACAAGAACGAATGCCTCCCGCACTTTAGCCAGACACTGCAGACAGGAGATGGAGCTGAATATACGCCACACAAACACAGAGAGGAAGCTAATGATTCTCATTTGATGAATAGACAACCATGTGGCAGCCTTCACACCTTCTCTGAGCCGCCAACAGCCTCATTCATCAGGCCCAAGCCGACAACCTGAGACAGAGGGAATGGCAGGCGTGAGTAAGGAGGAAACACAAAGTTCCAGACTGGAATCTGCTTCTGTTACTTTGGCTGCAGCCACAGGCCGGGAATCCAAAGTTGTATTTTTAAATAGGTTTCTTAAAATGTAGTTTTAAGGTTCAAGGATTTGGTAGATTGTAAATCACAGATTTCGTACGTTGCTATACTCAGAAAAATCCAGCTTTGCCTTCACAGGAGCAGAGGAAGCCACAGCTCCATACACCAGATTTGGAAACTACAACACAAGAAGAATGGACACAGAAAATATATTAATTGTGTTGCTTTTTTTTTTTTTAACCTGTGAAGCCTATATGGAAAGAAAATATGTCAAGTTTAATTATTTATCAAACATGAAACACATACAATAAGTTTTTCCAGAGGAGTTTGGTCATCACTTGACATGTTTCCTGCCAAACAACCGTACTATCAAAAGATGTCCAGTTACACTTTTCTTGTCTGTCAGTCTAGAAACATGAGCTAAAATGAGAGTTTGGACATAAGTAGATATCTTGTTCAGCTTGACGTCATTTTATAGTTGTGCTGGTAAAGAATACAAAGACTAGAAGTTTCAACATGTTGTCCACAATGTCACAAACAGCTCAAAACATTAAATATTTCTTATTAATCACATCTGGACAAGATGAAAATTATAAAATTGCAAGAATTATTTCAGAAAAAAGGTTTAGGATTAATTCTTAAATGTTTCTCTATCATATATTTGCCATTTTAAAGTAACATTTATGAAACCACAACATTGATTGATGTGAGAGATTCATTTGTGAAGTGCTGCACCTTTCCTCTAAACCAGGCGGATAGAGATCCTGAGTATGAGCCTCCAAAGCTGATCCAGGTGTTTCTGCTGCTGAGATTGAAGCTCTGACTGATGTACTGATGAAATACAGCCAAGTCAGCAAGTCTGAACCAAAGAGAATAAAAGTACAGAGTGAAAATGACCCAAATATGCTCTTCTTATGGTGTTTTGTCTCAGATTATAGGGTTATGTATGTCTATATGCTTTATAAGCTACAGTATATAAACATCTGCAAATACATGCAAAAGCAGACGGATCTAAGTGTAAAAATGACGGCGCTGTGTTAAGGATGTGGAAAAGCACAGACACTTTCACACACATAGCTGCATAGTGAACAGTGAGGGGCTTTAACAAGGCGGGCACTTGTCCTGATTAAAGGAAAGTGCTCCTATTTTTGAATTACTGTCCTGGAAAATGAGCTTGGCAATTTGAATCTATTAGAGTAGCTGAAAATGACTTTATGTCCAACATTTCCCAAAGAGTTAGAATAAGCTGAGGTTTCTCATGTTACAATGAAATTGTTCTCTTCATTTAAGAACGGTAAATGTAACACCCAAAAATCTTCCCACAGGCTATAAGCCAGTGGTTTCCAAACTTTTTCTTCTGCGCCCCCCCCAGTGGTTTCTAAACATTTTCTGCGCCCCCCGCCCGCCCGCTATGGAGGGCAAAATGAATGTACGTAGCTGAAAATAGACACCAACATCGGTAGCCTACAAGGTACTTGCTAGGCTTCAGATGCATTACCTGCATCCAACAGCTTCACTCAACTCAGTCGGTTAGTTTGGAGGGAAAAACTGTGAAAAGTTCTTTGCTGGTTTGCTGCCGTGATTCTAACACAAACCTACGTAGCTCCGCCCAGCAGCAGCAGGTCTCCTTCACAGGTGGAAACCCAGCGCGAGCGTCGTGGCGCTCATGTTGTGTTTAAAGGCGGCTCGGAAAAACAGGTTACAACATGTTAACAACGGACTAAACTGTTTTAACTGCTGATAAAAGTGACAGAGGACACAAATATGGGACGTGTGGAAGCCCTACTGTATCAAACTGACATAGGAATAACAGAGAGTTGGCCATTCTAAGGTAAAATCCCAGCGCATACAGTGTTCATGTTTTATTTTTTTTTTTCATCCAGACGGCTTCCCGCGCCCCCCCTGCAATGACACGGCACCCCCCTAGGGGGCGCGCCCCACAGTTTGGGAACCTCTGCTATAAGCTATGGACAACATTTGGTTAAAAATCTAAAGAATGCAATTAGGTGAAGCGAAACACGCAGACACAAACACAGGTGAAGAGCCAACACTAACGCCTGCTGGCTGCTCAGGTCTGCCAGGTTCTCTGTTTTTAGGCCATCAGGATTGATGCTGTCGCCATAGAAACGGTGCTCCACAGCCAGCAGCAGAGCCCTGTGCTCTTTAGCCATGTCAACATGATGACCTGGAAAAACATGGTAAATACCACAAACACTCAGTGTGAAAGCAGTTTATTCATTTAAACAAGAAACCGAATGGAGCTGAGTTGGACCTGAGTTTTCAAAGCTGTTAAAACGAGCAAAAAGTGATTTTGAAAGTGGAACTAAAAAGTGATTTTGAAAGTGAAATTATATGTGGTCATAAATCTGAAATTAAGTCTGTCTGTCTAATTATTATACTGAAGTTTGGTCTATAATTACTTATGCTGTAACTCATGATGTTTATTCAAGTATTACTGAACTACATGCCTTTGACATGAAGTTCTTCCACCATCAGAAAGAAGTTAATGTGTGGGAAGGAAAACAAGAGTTAAAAATGAGTTGTTAATCAGATGCTAAGAGCTCCAAATAGGTTTTATTATTACCTTTCACATAATATTTAATGACTGATTTAGTGTCCTGTTTCACTTTAATGTTTTAAAGTCTGGTTTAAACTAGTGTTTTGACATTTTTATCAAACTCTGTTTGAGCACAGTTTCACCTGAATCTGCTAATATATTCAAGAATTAAACATTGAAATAAAAATTAGACATTTTACAAATAGGATTCTTTTTTTTTCTTTTTTTTTGAAGAACAAAGAATAAATGAGCTAGCTTTATGCTGCACAAATCATTTTAAAAACAGAATTTCCTTTCTAGGACAAAGTAGAAAATATTACTCTTCAATATTACTATGTTAAGAACAACCTAAGAGATTACAGTAAAGTTGAAGATATAAAATCTAAAATGAGTTTCAATATATAGCTATTCTCAACATGCAGTGTTTGTTTTTATTACTATTTTATTTAGTTCAAATGAAAAGAATTATGTTTGGTTCATTTTGAGTTTTAAAACAAGTTGTTGATATGTCCCTGTCCTTTTAAAAGATTGATATTTTAATATAATATTGTGCAAAAGCTACATCTAGAAGTCATAAAGGTGAATGTATAAATTACATTTCTGGTTTAACATAGTTTTTCAAGTTAAAAGAGATTAAAGATCAAATTATTTGTATATAATTGAATTTTTGCCTTGCCTTTTTCATTTACAGGTGCTGTTTAGCTGTCCAAACTTGCTCCAGTCTCACAGTATCATTTCTGATATTATAGGACTTTCACTGACATCCATTTGTCAAAAATAAATGTATTTACTTGTAAAGTGAGGACAGAGTGTCACATGAACAGATAAAGGCATCTGTGTCCCACGGTACCTGCAAGAACATCAAAGTTATAAATGGGACCTTCTCCACCAATGAAGAGAAACACTGGACCATCGGGCCGCTGCCAATACGCCTCGTTTATGAAGAACCTCTGTGACCCAGACAGACACGAGCAGGCAGAAATAAACAAAGTAATGAATATACAATAAACTTAACATGCAACTAAACACACATTCATAACTGAACTGTCAGCTGAGCAAACAATTTTGAGGAAAAAGGTTAATTGAATGCAATGTGGGGAAAAAGCTGTAACATATCACATAACATTTGGTGAAGCTATGCAAATACTTTCCAGATGTACTGTATGTTCAGTCACTTGAACTATGTAATCATTCAAACAATGGTACTCCTGAGATTCCATTTTTATGAATTTTATTCAGCAACAAATCTCTCAGTGAGCTTGATTACAGATTAAAAGGCACAATGTGAGGAAACATGTTGCTTGGAAAACCTCAAATAAGCACAGAGACACCAAATATCTCAAGTAGAAACTTTTTCAGCAGTAAAGTGACAGCTGTCAGTAGTCATTGCATTAATATTGATACATATGAAACATTGTTGTGGCACATGGAATATTTTCAGAATGCAGTTACCATAGCGAACAGCTTGAAAAGCCATTACACCACAGAGAAAGGTTAAACTTTCAGCCATCCATGTAACTCCTCATTACTTTACTGGAAATGCTTAGGAAAGTTTCCACTATTTCCTGTTAAGTTATTTTAAATAACCAGTAGGACCATGTGTGACTGTGTATTACTTTAACAGAGAAATGTCCACAAAACTACTAACTCTACGTTAAGAGAAGATGTTTCTTGGATAAAAATGATCAAAAATGCATTGTATAAAAATACGTGTTTTTAATTTTTATACGAAAATATGGAGCAATGGAAGAGTCCAAAATTACTTAAGTTACCTGAGTAAAGGTCTTGACATTTTGTCGATTGAAGTGGTCCAGCGGCTGGTGAACCCGGCCCTCCGTCACATGTTGAAGAGGTTTACTTTTGCTAGCAAGGAGCGTCAGGAAAAACTCTTTGTGTTTCCGAGCCTGGAGATCACGGTAATGCTGATTAATCTTTGACAGAATCCGTCCTGCCAATAAAAAAAGTGAAAAAACACATACTGAAAATTATATAATCCACCAAATAACAAACCTGAGCTGTGTGTGGGAGCTAACCCAATTGTTCTGGTTGTTAAACCTGGTGCAATAAAGAGGTTTTCTCGCTTATGACCAAAACAAAATCAGCTGTGCCCTAAAAGTAACTCACCAGAATCTGCAATATTCAGAAGAAAGAAAAGGACAAAGCCACAGGCCGGAGAGAAAAGCATCTTTGATCACATTCAGATATTCAAACTGAGCTGGATACACCTCCTGCATGCAGGATTCAAAAGGATCTCATTGTTCTGCAACTTGTTATATACCACCTGAAATGGGTTGCACCTCACTGTCACTTCAGCTTTAGTGTGTGTGTAAAATAGACTGTTCAGCACAAAGGAGCATCAATTTGGTCATGTAATTGGATATTTTTGCTTTGTAATGGCTTTTTTGGAAAGCTTCAGTTACAGGCACTGAGAGGCCGTGTCTTCTTTCACACAGTCCACAAAGATTTATTTAGTTTTGTTAACTTTCTTTATTGTTTTTTTTAATTACACAACTTACAGAGACAAACACAACAATAAATAAGTATAAATGGTTGCTAAGGTACTTAATTACCTCTTGAAAGTGATCATTTGTTTGCTTTTATTCACAAATAAATATCTGGAAAGTATGGAGTATGGAAATACAGCTATGAATCTTTTGCTTTTTACATCTAAAGACTGACATAGGTGCAGCTTTTGACACAGTTGATCACAAAATATTACTTAGTATATTCACAACAGTATCTGCAGGACAGTTTTTAGGTGGTTCAAATTATATTTTAGTTTTCTTTTCTATTATAAACTCTGTATCTAAATGTAGGTGAGATACAGAGTTCAACAAAAGCCCCCTTTGGGGTCTCACACTTTTTAATTTATTAATGCTGCCACTGTGAAAGATCAGCTTTAATTTTTATCGCTATGCTAATGACAAACAGCTTTACAACCATGTGTCTCTGGACAACCTGCAGCCAACTGATACACTGTCTACATTTAAGACGGTAATTATTTAAACTTTTGTCAGATTTGGATGCAGATACTTTTCTTTTAACTACAAAGTTTGTCACTGATCGAGTTGCAAACACAAGGACCAGGCATGTGGGGAGACTAGTCAGTGAAAATAAAGGAACAGAAAATATAATAAACAGGAAATAAAACAACAAGTTAACCAGAACGTCTTAAAAAAAAACAACAGATCATCAAAAGAGCCCAAAACAGAAGACTGAGAGCTGACAGCTTCGTCTGCAATTCTAAAAAAGCCCAGAAACTGTATTTCCTGGGAACAAATTGTCATAAAAAAAAAGTAGTAATTATTTCAGACACATTCAAGATTTATCCTGAGAAGGTGTCTTGTTTCTTATTTTGACTGGAGCTGGGGAAAAGAAGGTGAATTAGGATAAATATTTCATTTAGTGGGGCTTCCAGATTATGAGAAATATCTAGTGCCAAATCTACGTTTCTTAGCCAATATGCAGATAAAAATTTCCAAGATTACTTGAAGAATTAAAAAAGTTACAGAGCTATCCTTTCCCAAGAATATCCAAATCATTATCACAGAAGTGATAGTCAACAAAACAGAGGCATAAAGAGTAAATGGCTAAATAATAGGTTCAAAGACAGAAGCTTCCTCTTTAAATGTAGAAGTAGAAAATTAAGTCAACAGGGGCTTTTGTGGCTTTAAGAAACATAAACCCAGCCTATTTCACCGACTGGTTTGATCTGGCTTCAGCAGAGTGCACGCAAAGGTTAAAGCCGTTTTCCAAGGAGGGCACATTTCACACTTCTTTAAAACCAAGAACTTGAGAAAGCACTTCCTGTTAATTCACTATCAATTCCTTTGAGAAATATGCTGTTCACGCATTGCCTAATTCTTTAAACACAAGCAGCAGCATCATTGCTGAGGAGAAACCTTAATTTGGAGGTCAAAGGTGGAGGTTTGTAAGCCTGAGAACATCCCCATCTGTGAAGTACAGGGGTGGCTGCACCATGTTGTGTGAATGCTGTGCAACAAGAAGGACTTAAAGTAGCTGCATCAAGAGGAAGGAAAATTATATGGAAAATAAAGTTATATCTATTCTTGAAGAAAGCAATGAGCAACCGCCTAAATGTTGTTTCAATAGTCTGGCAGGCTGCATTAAAGATGTTTTCTTTAATTTACAAATACTTGGCTAACCAAGATGCTATTTAATTCTCTCTAGTTTAAGTTTATGTCCTACATTAGGAAAAAAGAGAACGTGGACACACATACAGTATATAAGTTAAATATTTGCACCCTCATGTATTTAAATCTGTATTCACAGAAAACTGATCATTTGGACTATTCATTTGGACTATTCATTTGGAGTCAAATCAATCAATCAATCAATCAAATTTTATTTGTATAGCACATTTCAGCAGCAAGGCATTTCAAAGTGCTTTACGTAATTAAAATAAAAACAGCATGTGACAGTGAATAAACAGTGAGAAAGAGAAAGACATTTTGAAAAAGATTTAAAAAGATAAAAACATTAAAACCCGCACCCCTTTTAGGACTTCAGTTAAATGTTAACTGAACGACAAATGAATCAGACTGAGGGTGAGTCACCTGAGGTGGTGTATCTTACACTATATTTGAAATGTAAGGAAGATATGCATCAGTAGGAGGGTGGTATAAGTGTGGGCGTCTCAAGAGTGTTATGAAATGTTTTTACGTTATTGGAAAGTTTTGCTATGAATAAAACTTCCTTCCTCAGCAACTGTTTCCGTTTTAAATAATAATAATAAAAGAAAAACTAATCAAAACATTCTTTTTTTTTCCTCAGATGCTGCAGAGACAACAGACATTCAGTGAAATAATGTAAAACTAAATGTGAGATTAATGCACTTATCCGTCAGTACCAAGCGCTGAAATAAACATAAATGAAATATATTTAATGGATTGGGCATTTTGTTTGAAAATCACATCACAGGGGAAGTCATTGTTTTGTCATTATTTTAAGAAATAATATCCATGAAAAACAAACAAATTATTTTCAAAGTTGTTTTTATCTTCTTCGAGTACTTTTCCGTGTGAGTAATTTGCTACCCAAAAATTTAACCGCTGCCAAAGATTTGACTTCAGATATGTCTTACTCTCTTCCTCTTATTGTACAGAACACAGAAAGGTTTTTTTAGGGTACGTCAGAGAGACCACAATTCATAGTTAGTCACATAAATTTCCTGTCACTTGCTACTCTCAATTCATTTCTGACGGATGGAAAGCAGGGAGAGGAACTGCTCCTTCAACGGCTTGATTGCGGCAACTTTCTGTAAACAGCGAAATCATGTCTGTGTTTTATGCTGTGGTTTTCGGCTGTATTCTGGTTTTTGGTCTGCCTCTCAACGCCGTGTCACTGTGGATTCTGCTTTTCCACCATGGACTCAGATCACCCATCGCAGTTTTCATGATCAACCTGGCAATCTCAGACCTGATGCTGGCCATCACCTTGCCTATGAGAGTCTACTTCTACGCCATGGACAGTTGGCCTTTGAGTAACTTGACCTGTGTCTTCGTCACGATGATGTTTCGCAACAACATCCGCTCCAGTTCCATTTTCATCACTTTCATCAGCGTGGACCGGCTGCTGGCTGTGGTTTATCCACTGAAGACACGGCACATACGAACCCTGTCCAATGCCGTGAAAGGAGCTGTCCTGGTTTGGCTCTTCGTGTTGGTGCTCAATATCCCAGAGGGTATCCGTTTCTCAAGACTTTTGAACAGTACGAACGCGTCAAAGTGTTTCGAATCTGTTTACTCTGATATAAGAGAAAAATCATCAACTGTCTACATTCAGTCCACGCTGGAGTTCATCTTGCTGACAGTCAACGTTGGATGCACCGTCATGGTATTCTGGACCCTGCGTCATCACCTCAGTGAGTCTGCAAAGGTCAACAGCAAGGTGAACGTGATGGTGATTTTTGCCCTGAACTTGGTCATGTTTAGCGTATGCTTCCTGCCTTTGTCCATCACTGCATTAATTAGGACTAAAGGGTCTGACTTCACGCCTGTGATATGTCTCGCTACTGTGAACTGCTGCTTGGATCCTTTGTGTTATTACTTTTCCCTCGATGCCTTCTGGAAGAAAAGAGAGGAAGATGACGTAAGAAGAGATCGGAGGACAAATGAAACTGAGTGAGAGTCATGATGCTTCACTTCACTTTTTAGTTGTGACTGATTCTTTATGTGATATTTGGTGCCAAGTTTGTCTGGTCTGTCCTGTCTTCCTTTCTCTCAACCTGCTTTCTTCTTAAGCAGGACCCAGTCCTCGCCGTCCTGTAGTGATATGTTTGTGGTTATTGCAGCAGACCAGTAGAAGGATGTCACATTGTACCGTTGAGCTTATTAGAATCTGATGAATTGAGAGATTTCAGAGCAAAAAATATATCAGAAAACTGCAAGAGACATATAAAACACACAAAACTGTTTTTTTTTTATCATTTTTGTGATAAACAAAATAAATATATAACCTGATAGAACAAAACATGTACATTTGTGATCACATGTACACAACATATGTGATGACCTGGGAAATATGTGGTGTCAACTACAAGGACTTGTGGAAATTACTTTAGCTAGTTATATGATATGTGGCAACATATTTTTATTTTGTTTAACTTGGGAATTTGCCATGTGCAATGTGATTTTGCATCCGATATTTTCCCACTTATAGTTGCAAACAGAGGCACAAGCTCTTGTCAATGGTTACTTCTCGAGAAACTCAGCTTTTCTTGCTTTAGAGTGCTGGTAATGGCGTCACAAAATGTACCTACAAGGAATCTTTGAGGACAAGCAGTGAGAGTAACCATGGCGACAGATGCAGGAATGAAGAAAGCCAGTATCAACAGCAGTTATTAATGGAGAATAATGTAGTAAGCTACATATTTATGTCTCGGTGACACGTCTAAGCTGAAACCTACAGAGAAATGTGCAACGTGCTCACATTTCAGAGCTGCAGGCTGCCGCATAATGAGACGGGTCACTCTGGCTTTGTCCCCTCCAGACCCGGTTGTTTTTTTTTACATGGACTAAGACATTATTTTTCAAAACTATATATCATGCTCACATCTAAACCTACATTCAGCTCCAGCAGTTCCAACCTGGGCTAAATAAACCAGTCTTGATTCAGGAAATACAAGAGTAACATAATGTGAAATGATGAAACCATGCATCATTTTCTAGGAAAAGTGTTGAATTTCATCAATTCTCCCTGATAATTTTACCAGAAACTCACTCTAGCTAGGTACTTAGCCAGGACAGAAGGTCAGAAGTAGCTAACAGAGCGAAACTGATTATCTCATCTTACTTTCTGCAAAGTTTGCACGTCAAACTAAATGTATCTTTATTCTTTGATTAGTCTATTGAGGTCAGAATGATAGCCACATTGTACTTATTCTAGCAAAAGACGAAATCAACTTGGTGGTTGACATCAGCCCAGCAGCTTCTGCCCCACAGTTACAGGCAGCAACAGAAAAAGGGGCTGATTGTGACTGTAAAGTGGCATTTAACACAAATTCATATCATTAATCCACATAATCACATTTAACTTTCAAAGACTACCAGAGTTGATAACTGAAACATTACTCTGCGTCAAAAATTAAAACGTACCTAAGAAAAGAGGAAATCAAGCTGGTGGTTAACATATTTCCAGCAACGTCTGTCTTTGTGCATTAAATAAGATATAACCCTGAGCAAAGTACAAAGCAATAGCTTACAAAGCAATACAAAACATAGCAAAATTACTCATGAAACACCGTATATTATTAGATTTGTCTAAACTATATGTTAAAATATGATATTTGTAAAGAAAACACAGAGCTGATTCTAATACATAACCACAGGGCACAGTAATAGAAAAAGGGGGGAGGAGCTGTCAGGTACCGGTTACTATGGTAACCACCAACTGTCAAGAGCAGCACAGCAGAACTTAAAACACCAATAAAATGTCTGTAGAAACAACCTGTTGACTAAACAAAGTAAATTTAAAGAATAAATAAACAAATTTTGGTAACACTTTATTTGAAGGGATGTGCATAAGACTGACATGACACTGTCATAAACATGACATAACATCTGTCATGATCATAAAGAAGTCTTTGTGAATGTTTATGACAGTTGTCATGAAGTGTCATTCGGTAAATAATAACACTTTTAATGCAAAGTTGCTCTAAAAGTTGTATTAAAAGTCCATTAAAAGTGGCAACTTTGCATGATTTTGTAAATTATGACAATTTAATGCAAAGTTGGCATTTTTAATGGACTTTCAATGCAGCTTTTTGAGCAACTTTGCATTAAAAGTGTCATTATGAATGACACTTCATGACAACTGTCATAAACATTCACAAAGACTTCTTTATGTTCATGACAGGTGTTATGTCATGTTTATGACAGTGTCATGTCAGTCTTATGCACACCCCTTCAAATAAAGTGTTACCGAAATTTTTGACAAAATTCACCTCTATGATATTTTTTTAATTAAACCCTGTTACACATGTACTGTGGAGAAGTTAAGAAGGAGGTTAAATTCAAAGATCAACAGGGATTCTTCAACATTCGGCTTAACTGATGCACAGACATGGGGCTGGGAAACAAGATCCTCCTTTGTTCAGCAAAGTCCATGCCAACAAAGTCAGGAGTTTGAAGGTGACTAACCTGTCATGCACAACAATTATTTATTTAATTAGATCATAACTGTGCAGCAGTTACTGCTTTTGTATTGCTTAATATGACATTGTTCAGCTCTTTTGTGGGTATTTGTAATAAATTGTCTGTAGTATTAAGGGTGCTGTTTTTTTCTGTAACTTCCTCAGTAGTTGAACCAGCAGCTCAAGTCCCAGACCATCACCAGATGGAGGGCCAGCAGCATAAGCCCACAGCAGATTGTAAGGATGGCTTACTTCAGATTTGAAATGATCCAAAACAAATGGCTGCAAGCTTAGCAGAATCCATCCCTCTATTGCAGTGCAAATTTAGCTGCTAATTCAGCACACACCACTTTTTGAGTGCAACACCACAACTGCTCTTTTTGCAGAGCAAATGTATCTGATGAGAGAAGTGGAAAGCTGATGTCAGATAATAAGTTCAAGCTTAAGTCAATGTCATATGAATGCAAGAAAGAAACCTTGGTGCAGAATAAAAATGAAAAGTCATGTGTGGATCAAATGGGTGTGAACACGTCTTATTCATATAGGGAAGAGGTTGTCCTATCAATCAATCAATCAAATTTTATTTGTATAGCACATTTCAGCATCAAGGCATTTCAAGGTGCTTTACATAATTAAAAACAAAATAAAAACAGCATGTGACATTGAATAAACAGTAAGAAAGAGTAAGCTCCTACTTATGGAGCTAATCCTTTGGATAATGTCTTGATGAGAAAAGGTTCACTCTGGTATTTAAAAGGACGCTAATTTGCTGTAAGGCAATATAAATGGTGAGGTTTAGCAAGATCATTGCTTTGCAGAAACAGTATTTCATGCTCGCGCAGCTACCCACCAGTAACCTTCTAATAATGTTCAAAAACTCCAACAATGCAAGTGAAGTGTGAAATTCTAATTCTAATTTTCTCTCTCTCTCTCTGAGCTTCTGTCTATGGCAGAGCTGGTCGCTTGTTGAACTTTCAGAAGTTACGGCGGCTGTATTGTACCACAACAAAGGGAAAATAATGCAGAAAAACAGGTGAACAACAACTCAAAACCGCTCGTATCCTTCTTGTTACTGTCTCTGCGTCAGCTCTACTCATACACATACACACATTGTAGCAACTGGCTGACAGACAGCTCTACAAGCCGACAGAGAAATTACATTAAAGTGTGCACACCAAACCATGGAAACAGTTATTGTTCAAAAACAGAACATAAGCCCACCAAGCAGAACAGCAAGTGCATTACAGTATTATGTAATAACATGGCAGGCACCTCTTATTCTTCACCTCGGTCTCTTTAATATTTATTTTTGTTCTGTTACAAAAATAACAGAACAAAAAAGTAAAGGGAAACTACTTTTCATGACTGGTGTAACCCAAACACTGTAAACACCTGGGCTTGGTGAGGCCTTTTAAAATGCGGCTTATGGAAAATTTCAATAATAAAAGCTTCATTATTTCTTGTTCAATCTCTACATATTAAGCTGAGAAAAGAGTTCAATGGGATATTGTCTTAGGACCACACATTCTAATGATAGGGTCAACATGCTAGTAGTTCATCATGCTACTGCTTGCCCACACACTAGAGCTAGCATTTCAGCTAACATTGCCATTTTATATACGTTTTATACATACTAAATTATGTCAGTGTTGGTCAGCATGCTGTTGATAACCCACATCCTACTGGTAGAGTCAACATGTTACTTGCTCTACATGCTAGTGATAGTCCTCATGCTAGCACTAGCCTTATAGCTAAGCCAAGAATTTTAGATGATTTTGTTTTTTTAATTTATTAGCTACATTTATCATACTGAACGTAGTAAATAAATGTAAGTCAACATGCTAGTGATGCCTCCCTCCCATTGCTACAGGAATCAATTAAGCTAAACTTACCATTTTAGCTAATTTTAGCTTATAAACTAATGTTTGCACACTGAATGGAGAAATTTTATTTAAGTTAACATGTTAGTGATAACCCTCATCCTACTACTTAGTATCAAAATGCTAGTCACTCATTATTCTAGTGATAGGAATTATGCTATTTTTGTTCTGTTATTTTGTACCTAAAATAAGCATTTTAGTTGATTTTTTATTAGCTATGTTAATCATACTGAATGGAGTAAGTCAATATATATCAACATGCTGGTGATACCACACATCCTACTGACAGCATTTAAGCTAACCTTAGCATTTTGCCTAATTTTAGTTTATACACTAGTGTTAGTTTACAGAATGGAGTAAGTATGTTAGTCTACATAATAATGATTCGGGTCTGATCAGAACGCTGGCTTCCAACCGACACGTGCGATTTGGCAGGTCCCTTTTAAGTTTCTTCAGAAGTGTTCTAGTTTTGTTATTACTAATATGAACACTCTGCTGAGCAGAATCTACAAATCTGCTCAGCAAATTTGCTCTACAAATTTTCAAATCAGGTTAGATTGTACTCAGATGTAAGCCACCAAGAGCAGATGTCAGGCAACATATGGACTCATAAAATGGACACTAGAAATC